GGGATATATGTGTATTGAGAGTGTGGGGAGTGAGTTGGAGGGTGGGGTGGGCTGCTTTTAACTATGTAAAGCACTTTGTGCTACATTTTCTCTGTATGAAAAGTGCTTTATAAATAAAGATTGATTGATTGATTGATTGATTGATTGATCTTGCTGTTTTTATTTTTCTAGCTTATGGCAAAACCCTTAACTTCAACCCAGGATCTGACTGAAGGCCTAAGCACTAAATCTTTTAAGGCAGCAAATGGTGCTGTCTCAGTAGTATTTGAGTGTGAATTCATAAGGGCTCAGAATGATATGAATCTCGACAACCCCAATAGTTTCTTGATACTTGCAGTTGGATTGGAAGTTAAGATTGTTTACTTTCTTTATGGTGAAAGAATTTAATTGTTCCATTTGAAACCTTGCCTTGCTTACGTGGATAGCAAATACATGTCAAACATCAATGACGAGCCAATGAAGAAAAAAGGTAAACAAACTCAAAATGTAATGAAGGGCACGCTACAGTCATCTGTAATCTCTTTGTTGGTTTTAAATATCTACCTGGATGTGAGCTTGTTTACATCGTAATTTTCCACAGTTTTTTCTAAGACATCTACTCACTCCTGTATGGCATAACATATGGGCAAGGACTTTAGGCAAAATTAGCAGAAACACTCATTCAACCCTCAGCCTTCATGGACTGAGAAGACTCAAAGGCCAATTATACCTGCACGCTGCTTGTCTGGGTGGCGACACCTATCATTTGTAAAAGAATACTTCAGCAAATTCTTACGTCCTCAGTTCTCAAATGGTGATGGGCTGTAGTGACATGATTGTTTGTGAGTGGTAGAACCAATGCAGTAACTGTAAAAAGCCCCAGAGTCAAAGTCTGTAAGTGTGGAGATTGAATCAAGCCTCTGTATGACCTGGAAGAACCAAAGCCATCACTAAGGTCGGACCTAATTAAATGTTTCCATGAAGGCTGGTACCCATCCCAGGTGAAGCCAGTGAATGTGATGTTATAGCCTGTACAGCTCAAAGTTCCAACACTGGCTCGTACAGACCATCGAGAAGACTCCATTAAGCTCCAATTTCAATTTTGTCACTATTCCCTTCAAGGTACTTTTCATGAGCAGTGCTGCGCCACTTCCAGCAACCTTGCTACTTCCATTTTTTTTTCTATGGATGTTCTGTACTGACCAACTGCATGTTCACATTTTCAGTGCACATTGTATCATATCCATCAAAACAGTGGGCCTCAAACCTGGATCTGAGCGAGGAAGGTGGTTCCGTGATGAATGTGCACAACTGTACAATGGGAAAGTGCCACAGTTCAGATCTTTTGTCCCAAATTTTCTCTCTCGGACCTTTCATAATGTTACAGTCTAGAGATATTTTCCAGGTCTAGTTTTATCTCTTGATGCAATGCCCTCAAAATTCCACTCATCCACTGAGGACTGTCTGTCTCTTGAAGGCACAGCTTATCACCAGTGATGATCCTCAACATGAAGATTGAGCTTGACACCTATTTTGCTCACTGCGCAAATTTGAGGTCCATGAAAAAGTCAAAAATGCAATGATACTAAAGCCTTTGACAGTGATTTAAAAATTTCAGATGTCATCTTCCAAGGCTTATATTGATGCAGCACTGTTGGATCCAGGCATGTCTTGTCACAGCCTAATCTGGTGAACCAGTCTCTCCCTCTGCCAATCACTTCCAGAGGACCACTTAGCTTATCTGTCTTGATTGACCATAGTTGATTTTATCATATTGCAGTGAGCTTAGTCTATTGCACTTCAGATTTTCTGGACTGAGTTCCTCCATCCTTCATCAGAGCAGTGCCCCATGCCCTGTCAGCATTTTCATCTAATCTTACCAGGGAAGTGCACTTCCATATACCATCCCTGAAGCCAGGACTTTTTAGTAGATTAGCAGGACACTAATCAGAAAGTTGGTGGCTTGATCCCTGGCTGCTCAAATCTGCTTGCCAACTAGTGAACCTTGATGCATTCATTGGAGTGTGAATGTTACGTAGAAAGCACTTGCGTGCTTGCGCGAATCGATGAATGAGGATTTTAGTATGTAGTGCTTTGAGTGTTCGGAGTAGAAAAGCACTTTATAAGAACGAGACTGCACCTCTTCCACCTAGTCTGTTTATAGATCCTCATCCGAGACATGCCAACGTCAGTCAGAGCTCATGGCCAGCCAATGTACACAGTTTGTCTCAGTCCGAGCTATTTTCTACTTCCCTTTCTTCCAGACATTGCATTGCCAGTTTCCTGGAGACATGAGACTGTCTTGTTGTTAAAATTCCAAACCAGATCATCTACCAGCCTGGCAATTTTCTTTACCAGAATGGTTCGTTTCAGTTCCTCTTTCTGCTAAGACTAAAATCAAGTGTATTCTTCTTTTGACCAGCTTCCACAGGTCAAAGCCCAAGAACTCTTTAACGAGGCAGTCTGAGAATCAATTTCTGCTTTGATTTTAATGGGGCTGTGCAGCTAGTCCCACTAGAGAAGGATAGGTAGCACATTTGAGCAGTGGTTAGCGCACTGTCGCCTCACAGAAACAAGGTTCTCTGCTTGAACGTTATGGTCAGCCGTGCACTCTGCATGTTCTCCATGTGGTTCATTGGGTTTCCATTTGCAGTCCAGAGACAGCTTTGTTAAGGTTAAGTAGCATCTCCAAATTATCTGTCGCTCAATTCATCTTAGAGAGGGCTCCAGCCCAGCTGTTTAAAATAAATGGACTAGTGGATGGCTTCAGGGACCAATCTTAAAACCAGCCAGCCAGCCTTGTGCCAAAATAACGGAGTGGTTACAGCTGTTTAAAGCATTTCAATAATCCTCTTGATGCCTTCACAAGGATTTATCCAAATAGTTGTTCTGATCTTGTTCTCGCATTTGAAGAACACCAGTATAAGACATCCACTGAGTCACAGGACTGCCATCTGACAAGGTTTATTGTGCACATTCAGAGACAATAACATAACCTTTTTGATTTTGGTCCCCACATGACTATATTTTCTGTATCCTGTTACCAAAGTCCATGTCTTTGTTAGGCATTGGTTTTCTGCTGTGTGGTTTCTGTATGGTCCGAGCCACACAGGCTTAATGACCACTCTGTAATCATCCGGCAACCAC